AAATAATCTACACCTATGTATATACCTCTTACATCTGCATTTTCCATCAATGATGGAAATTCTGAAATCAACATTGCAAATAAAAACGGGCTGATAACACAAACTTATCTGACTCCACTTAAACTATCAAAATAATCAGTAATAGTAGTGTTGGATACTCTTACAATTGAGTTTATATTCGAATACATATTTCTCAGTACAGAGAATAATTTACGATGAATACCTTTATTAATTATTGAATACCACAGTAATTTCCTATTAAAAGAATCAAATGCTTTCTTGAAGTTTACATAAATAAAGTAAAAACGTCCCCAAATTTTAGATAAATACTTTTGTACACGACATTGCAAAGTGAAACTATTATCCGTTGTGCAATAGCCTTTCCTAACTCCTGCCTGGGCCACAGGTATACTGTTAAAGTGATCGGGAAAACGTTTAAGACGCCCATTTAGAATAGAGCAGAATAACTTCCCAAAACTATCCATCAAAGATATGCCTCTATAATTATTAACACAGTCGAAGCTTCCTTTTTTTATGGAGTGGTACAATAACACTCTCAGCCCATTCTGATGGAAAATTACCCGTTGACAAAATATTATTATACATAACTAACAAATATGGAATTAAAACAGTTCTGCAGCATTGGATCATGTCAGCCGTAATACCATCTGGTCCTGCAGCTTTACCCTGCTTCAGATCTCTTATGAATGATTCGATCTCTTCCTGTGTAATATCATCATTAAGAATATTATTTACATCATCATCAGTACAGAAATCACACAATTGTTCATTATGGTTATTTATAACCTAATCTATCTGCTCAATGATATCCGAGTCTACAAGTATATCAGTATGGTTTAAAATATTCAGTCTTAATATAATCAAACCAATCTTCTTGGCAAATCTGGGTGGAAAGAGGACCACAACTTGTCTTCTTTGTCAATGCGATTATGTTGAATATTTAGAAAGAATCTCCTTATCACCAATAACTCTAAACTTGCATTTTTTATCCAGATGCAAGTTTTGATTATCTAGCCCTAGAAAGTAATCCGCATGAAATAGAACCACTATGTACAGCATTGGTCAAAGCTTCAACAGCTAAATCAACATTCAAAGACAATAAATGCATAAACTCATCCATGTGAAGTGCAGACAATGACTCAAAAACAGTATGTTTGAAGGCATCACATATTTCATTTCTCCATGTATATCTGGGAATATTATTCACATGCATTTCATTAACATTATTGACCTGTCTATCACATCCATGGAGGGTAAGTAGGAAAGGAAAGTGACCTGATTCATAGCTTGTCAAAAAAAATAGTTGGGCATAGTACATAATCAACCAAACTAGCGCCACCTTCCTTAAAACAAGTAAATGATCCCCAGCAAATCGTCCATTTACAATATGGACAGAAAACGTACAACAAAAGTCTACCAGATCCCTCCTGTAATCATTACACACATCATCTCTGGTACTGCGGGGCACGTCAAATGCATCCGATACATACTCCATGTCTTATAAACATGTTATAAATATGTTGTTGTCGTCGATAATAAAATCTTTCAAATTACCAGACCCGTGAAGATTCCGGGGTAGAATATATGTAGGTCTTCAGCAACCCATGCTTGTCGTAAAAGGTGACTATGTTTGTCGTAAAAGGCGACTAACGGGATTGGGTGGTCAGGCTCGCTGACTCGGTTGATGCATGTCATCGATCCAAATGCTTATGATATTATTCACTGGATTGTCTGGTCCAGACTGTATTATTTACAGACCGCCGTCATATAGTTGGAATATTGCCGAGTGCGGCGTTAAACGACAAACCAATCAACCAACAAATCAAATTACCATAGCGTACATTATAGTCACCAGGAAGAATAATTTCCCAATCTGGGTGTTCATATAACACAGCAGACTAGCTTTTATCTAAGTACTCTATACCCTTAGGGACTCTATTGTCTGTCATTACTAAGTACAAATGTATACTGAACAACAAAAGTGACATTGAATAAGATTTAATGCAAAGTTATGCTTTTTACCAAATCTGAAACAAATTCGGTTTGCTATGGATAAAAGACTCCTGTAAGTGTTCAAATGGTTTAATTTCCCACACAGACTTCAGAAAAAGCGTGATTTCATAAAACAAAATCAAACCAATCAAATTACATAATTGACATAATCAATAAATAAACATAATCAGTAGCGTGTGTGTCCACCTCTGGCAAGCAACTCATCTTCGTCTCATGGAATGGACCAGGCGTCGCACAAAGTCCTGTGGGATATCTGTCCATATCTGCTGGAGCATGTTTCGAAGTTCCTGCAGGGTCTGTGGAACACGTCGAAGGTTGTCTCTCCATCTCATCCCACATGTGCTCGATTGGTGAGAGATCAGGGGAGCGAGCCGGCCAGGGAATGACATTCACGTTGTTTTGTTGAAGAGAATCCTGAACAAGTCGAGCAATTTGAGGCCGGGCGTTGTCATGTTGAAAGGTAATGACCGGGCCATGACGACGCAAAAACGGTAGAACAACAGGGCCGATGATCTCATCGCGGTAGTGCTGTCCATTGAGATTTATCTCTACCACTATCAAACAGGTCCTCTGTCTTTCTGTAATCTCACCCCATACCATAACGCTGTCGCCCCCGAACCGATCTTCTTCCATGACACAATGATTGACGTAACGTTCACCTCGACGTCGGTACACTCGAATGCCTCCATCGCTGTGGATGAGGTGAAAACGAGACTCGTCAGTGAATAGAACTTGTCCTCAGTGCATGACCGTCCAGCATAGACGCTGTCTGCACCACTGTAGACGTGCTTGAAGGCCAGAGATGCTTCTTGCAGTCACTGTTGCTGGCTGGAATCGATTTCGTAGGTGTGTTGTTCGAATCAAGTTGTCTTGTCGATTATTGGTTGACTGCATTCGTCTGTTGCCAACGTTGCCTTAAACATCAAATGGTGTTCCTGTGGACATTAAATTGTCTTGCAACATCACGTTGACTCGATCCTGCTTCAAGCATACCAATGACTCGCAGACGCTCATTTTCGGACAGGCGTTGTTTTTCGTAATGTTGAATAGTTACGTAATTTTGTTGTTTTTCTGAGTGGTTGTTGTCAGCACGATGCTAAACAATGCATATGGAATCCCGTTAACGCACATGTTTTCATACCCATGCTTGGGTAGGGAAATGCATGGGACTTGCATAAAAGTCATCTTTTGCATGGAATACATGCTTTTCTGTAGCAGTTGGTTTTTTTGTGACTTGATTTCCTTGCATGTACTACAATATTGAAAACCAGACTTAACTTGTTTGAAAAATACACTAAAATATTGATGTCACAGGAACTTTTGTTGTTGAGTATATTAACAGGATGCACAAAACCAACAAGTAAATTACGTGTGAGATTATATATACTTATCAAGTAACAGAAATATCATGTCTGTGTAGTCAATAATAACACGGCGCAGACCATGTGATAGTGAAGTGTGAACACACACAGACACGCCCTCTCGGTAGTTTACCCTCTGCAGTTCGTGTAGACACGGTACTCGGGGAACATAGTCTCTATGCTTTCCTTTGTGCAGTGTATCTCTAGAAGACCAAAGATATTGTGATCAGTGCAAATAAACTTCAATAAAACTTCATGATTTATTCTATCAAATGCCTTTGAAAAATCAACGAGGATGCTATAAAATCTACCATTAGTTTTTGGAGAGATATTTGTGCAAATGCCTGTAATGCCAAAAAGTGATCAATAGAAAAATATCCGGATCTAAATCCAGCTTAAGGGCTTAATATTCGTGTATAATATTATTAATGTCACACCAGGATTGTAATATTTTATCCAGAATATATGTCAGAACTTTGCACAGTGAGTAAATAAGAGATATGCCCCTGTAATTATCTGTAATATAAAACAAGCTACATACATCAATGTTTGTTGATTCATGCACATGTCTACATGCTCGTTGAGAGGTCAGATGAAGTGAAATGAGGGTTAACGTCACATTCACTTCCCTAGCTACTCGCACTTTGTAAAGGGTCATGCGATTATTCATTTGACCGCTTACACATATGCTAGTTTTGTCGCGGTACCTCATAGTACACATTATCCTCCACTGTGGATATACATGCATATAGTGCTGTTCGTCCTTGATATTGCTTCCTGTATAAGGATAGAGTTCACATGGTCCAAAGCAGTGCTTCCTATACATATATATAGTTCACATTATCACAGAGGGTGCCTCCTATACCCGCATATAGTTCGCATCGTCCATGCGATACCATGCTGCTGACCAAAGCCCTAGAAACTCGCACAAGCCATGCTGCCAAACACGGCCACCCTTCCATCAACTTTCCACGAGCAACGTTGCTTAACGTCGCCTGATTTGTGACCTGTGCTTTGTACACGGGGTGCCGTACAATCAATAATGTGAACTATATGTACGCTAAGGACAGTGGGGGTTATTATACATATGTAATTATAAATAAACATATATATACATATTAGGAAACTCTGCCTGGGACGATGCGAACTATATGCGGGAATAGGGGGCACACTCTGTGATAACTATATACACGAATAGCAAGCACTGCGTTTGTAGAAAGCACTGACAGCGACAATGGGAAGTATATACATGAATAGGAAGCGCTTTCTGGAATAATGTAAACTATTTGCGTGTGTAGGAAGTACTTGCAGCGAAAATGGGAAGTGTAATACGTGTATGGGAAGTACTGTCTGGCACAATGTGAGCTATACACTTACTGAAAGCACTGCTCGGAACAATGAGATTGTATGGAACATGTATTGTTAGAAACAATATGTATCTAGGCCCTGGATACTATGTCATCATACCAAACATTAACACAAATGTGAAACGTATCAATGTACCAATCAGCCTACCAAACGGTAGATGAATAACACCAAACCAACAAATTAAGAGACAATGAATCAGAAATTCAAAAGAGAACGTGTTTATTTCAAAACGGTTGAAAAATTAACAAATACAATTGATTGTTATATATGATATAACACAAGTATTGTTCAATATTGTTTCTATTAAAGATGATATACGAATCTTCACACATGATCACACATATATTGATAGTTGCTTTAAGCACCACATCAACAATATATTATACAATATCATACAATGACAAAAAATAAGAAACACCTCCTTTATAGATCTATGAAATAGTGCAAGTCATACATATAGAATATGTTTATGTCCTTGACGAATAAATTATACAATGCCATAAACATATACTGCCAATAATAATGCTACTTGTATGCTTTGATTAAACGCTTTGATGGTGTAACTGATGGATTTACTAACTTAATTGGTTACTAATTCGTTTTGTTCTCATAAAGTGTAGGCATTATAATCAGGTATAATGTTAACTGACATTTCCGTTAATAATTCCAGCATTATTAGTGAAATGCCATACCTCAATGTACTTGGCATTACATATTTAGTATGAAGACAGTTGAACACAAATGTCAAAAATGTAATGTATTCTGTGATTTAGGCATCTTACAAACCAGGACTAGTAGTGTGGGCTATACATGGTGGAACACCAAAATGCTATGTTTCAAGTCTTCGGGGTTTATTTGTTGAACTTAAGGGTAGGCCAAGCAACCTCTCATCTCCGCCATTTGGTTAAATCGATTGTTGGAAGATCGTTGCAGGGTATCAAAGGATTGCTGTGAAATACAAAAATGTGTCACCCAGTTAAAATATTAACATTTCCGTCAGCATATTTCATATGATCTGGTTTTATATTCGTATCCTATATAACTGAATGAGCTTGAATCTGTTACATTCAAAGTGTGTCACGAGGTGTAAATGGATCCAGGATACAATTCTGATTAATGTTCACTAAATGAAGTACGCCAGATATACCCTGTCGCATGTTAATATGAGGTCTGTCTGTGCGAGATAATTAATTACTGACGAACAAAGGAGATGAATGTCTTCATTGCCTACCTTTCTTTTGAGTACACTGTAAAAGGATCTCTTTGGATGGACTTCACTCCTGAATTCCTACAAAGAATTTTAGCAAAGCGCATTCGTCGGATCTCAGACAGTTGTCCTGAAATAGAAAGCGCAATAAATATTTATATATACAATTACTTCTGACAGCAAGAGAGTATCTTTTTTCCAAACTATTGTCAGTGAAACACTAAAACATTTTGACATCTTGAATTAGAAATGCAATAAAATTCATATTATGATATAACATTCTCATCTTAAAGGCATATTAAGTTATCTCATAAGTACATAGTTTGACATCAACAAAATAGTTTAACAAAACATACAAGCACACAGGAACAGACTGGACGGTACCTAATGTAAAGCCCTTTCTTGGATGGGATGTTTCGAACCAGAATGAGTCGCCATATTTCAGGTCATGGAACTGTTGACCAATCAGACAAGCGAGGAGAGGGCCCACTGCACCGCCATGCACGTGCTGTTCAGCTACTGCACCGGTGAAGACGTCGATGTCATCAGGGGATCTGAAGCAAGAATACATAAACGTAAGGAGATCTTGAGAAATGTCAAATAAGGGTTAAAGTATCTTTATTTAATAAATTTGTTACAATAACTCTGTACACATACAAGAGTAAATTAAATTAGACAAACCTGTATACACTTTTCAAAGCAGCTCCTGCTTTACCAAATATACTGTCATCAAATGAAGTCACTTCCGATAGCTGACATGCCTTGCGGAAGCTGTTGTATGATGGCAGGCCGTGGTCACGACCTCTCTGAATGTTCAAGGACACGATGTCAAAGCCATTATTGCCCGACGTCTCAAACAAATGCTCAGTCATCCCACTGTTGATGAATCGGTTAACCTCCTGATGTCTGTCCTTGAGGATAGCCTTCAGCACGGTGTCAAGATCTTTGATGACCTCAGAAGGTCTGAAGAAGAGCTGTTCTATGGGTACACGTCGATCTCCGAGGGTCAGGAAACGTGGAATTGTGGAGTGGCCGTATCTGAAGGCGGCGGTGGCGAAAACGTTGTAGATGGTGGGGTTTTGGGTGAAGTTGTACCTGAAGCTGAAGCCAGGGGTCAGTCTGTACTTCCTCATGGCCAAGGGCCCAACAATAATGGGCAGCCATTCGCGGTAGGTGACTTGTTGGATGATGGCTGACACGATCTTTCTGGCCTCCTCAAACAAGACATCATCAGGAGTGGTCGATGGCATGACATCAGCAAGTTCTTTGACAAGACGATTGTGTTCGCGGACAAACATGGTGTGTAGCACGGCCAGACCAGGGAACACGTTCACACGGTCGTCACCTGATGATGGAGTTAGTTATAAAGAAGGTGTGAAAGTGTTGTGAATTATCATTCGAAATGTACCAAATAGTCATGTGTGAAGTACAATATAAAAAGATTCTGAAAATAGTACTACGGATACATTAATAATTAAGTTGTATTTACCAGCTTCAAAACACCATTCGTTGGTATTGCTTGTTCGACAGTTGCCTTGGTTGGATTCTGGCAACAGGTTATCGCCCTTGGTTTTCATGTAGGCTGAAAAGTTGAATGACGACATTTATTTGTATATACCAATTTCTCTCCACGGTATTTGCCACATTTTAAAATATTTGTTTGATCATGAATTATAATTTAAAACAAAATATTGCCTGACTTACGTCCATTCCTGAGATGATTGATCTGATCCTGACTGAGGCCGTACACGTTAGAGGCGTCCACAAAGGACGTCAGTAGGTTCAACTGTTCTCGAGTATCTGGAAGTCACATGGTTTTAAATTAAATATGGATGTTATCATACAGTGTTGTTTATGGCTTTCGTTACTTAATAAGATGAGCATAAAAATAATGACAGAACAATCCTTCATTGAAATGAGGTAACCTACACAGCCTTGTATTCATATACTCACTCCTTCCAGGTGCTGGGGCTGATCTTTTGAACTCCATGCAGTTCTTTTGGAAATGTCCTTCATTTACTGGCATGGTGATTGGGAAACAAGGACCGCTGGAACAGTGAAATACAACCATTGTTATGATAATGTTTATGATATGTTATGATACACAAACACATGCTTATGATATAGTCGGAATCGTACGGTAGACTTTTATAATCATGGAAAAGGTTGTATCCCTTTCATCCCAATTCTAAACATGTATACAATGTCACGTAATTTTAAAGTTTATTATTTCTGATTCATTTATTTCAAATATCTCGACCAGTTATTTCCATTAACACAAACAGAATGATTAAGTGTGGAAAATATAGAATGTTAATTGCTTACCCAGCTCGTACATCAGAATGCATCTCTCCAGGTGTGTGACCATCGCAACATTTAGATTGAACATCACCTTGAAGGAATATGAGGATTTGTTAAGTTAATACAAAGATTTAGATGCATATCGTAATTATTGAAATAGGTTCGAAAAATATGGATCACAAAAACAAATATATCACAGTTTGTCTGATTTCATCATCACACGTCTGGTCACTTTGATGGTCAGAGGGTATTGGCCATTTGGCACCTACCTGCATGGAGAGGAGTTCCGGTGAGATCGTGGTCAACAAACTGCCCCCACTGCATCACCATCACCGTGTGGTCGTCAGAAGGACTGTCAACTCCCGGATGGACGGCCACACTGATGGCGCGTGGACTGGGAAGGGGATAACCATCAACGCCTCTCATTCGGGGAACGAACTTGCCTGAAAAGTCAAACCTTTGCTTTTAAAGTTCACTAAAGTATGGTTAGTTGTAATATTGATGGGGCATAACTAAATGTCCCCATTGGAATACTTACAAGACTTGCTTCCAAACGGTCTGATTTATTTATGAAAATCGCCCTGGTCATAAGCATGAAATAATGATTTTTAAGTTCTAATATCAATGTGAAGAAAGTCAGTTCTTTACCATCATCATATGCAGGATCAATAAATCTCTTGAATGGTTGGTTGGTTGATCCCCAGGTTGGCCAGCGAGCATTGTTGCAACTTCCGTCTTTTGTCCGGTAGCGGGCGTCTTGTCTGCAGTCGATAGAGCGCCGTCTGTAAAAGTGAATGGTGTTATCAAGTCTAATGATAATTGGTGTAGGTATCAACTATATTAAACTCTCAACCACAAACGAAGTGTCCATAGATGAGAGTTAGTACGAAACTGACCTGATGGTGTGTTTGTCTTGATACTTGGATGTGCTGATGTCTTCTATGGAAATCTGAGACGTCTCGGCGGCGTCAGCCAGTGTACAAACAACATACTTGTCTTCGTCATCACCTACGTCAAAGTAAAGGCATTAATACACTGCTTACTATCATGGGACAATTTCAGAGTACTTTAACTTCGAAAGTCTGATCAAAGGTCGCACCATCTGAACTGGATGATGTTCTATAGTGGATAATGATGTTTGAGAACGCGTATCAGCAAAATATTTGTTTTAAATAATCGGAATTTGTCATCTGTATGTCCCATATGCAATAAATCCTCTGAAACATATGTATGATCAGATTTGTCAGTTAACCCAATAGACAAATCATGGATAGTGATGCCGTTAATGTTGAATAATTAGACTTCTTACCATGCAGGAGTCTGAACAAGATGTCAATTCTGTTTTCTCTGTCCAGCGTTTGTCCATCAACTGTTCCTTGGTGGTCACCCCAAGTCGTTGGTGAAGTTTTTGTCGCACCCTCTAATAGGTAAATAAGTTCAGAGTATAGAGAAATAGGGTTGTTACAGATTATGAATGCAATCACAAAAACTTTCATACTTTGCCACCCCACATTTTGTTCTATTTAGTGGCGTTAAACGGGGTCTTTGAATATGTCTGGAAATATCAACACAAGTCATTTCACGTGCATCTTTCAGGGTATACCCAAACACATATTTATTCATCTTATCTCTCAATCTTAGAATTCAAGAGAACATCATTATCTCCAACAATCCCTTCTTCAAATGTGTACCCCGAAGTGTAACAATGTAACCGGTGTGAACTTACTGTTCGTTGATGACTCATCAGTGACATCGTCAAGGAATTTCGTGTTCATCTCATGATCCATTCCAACCAGATCTGATTGTATTGCCTTGACTGAAGGTAAGGTAGTTTTTAGTCAAACAACAGGTATCACAAAATATAATATCCGTACATTAAAACATTCAAACTATATTTAGTGACATTGATTTCGTCAAAGGTCCGTCTCTACATTGAAGGACTAAGCATAATAGTAAGTAGAAATTTGGCATCTTTAACACAGATATCTCATTATTTCAGCATATTACATGATGCCAGTTGCGTGAGTAACGCCCAAGCAGATGAAACTAAAATAGTATTATTCAATCCTTCACTATAGCTTGTCAAGATTTGGTTCATAATTTTTAAAACACTATACTCACGTTGCTCAATGACGGAATCTATGTGGTTAACCTATAAGGGAATGAGTAAACATAGGTTAAATAATCGGTCTAGGGTAAAACAGATGTGATAATCTCAAACACCGTATGCCACCCGTTACTTTAAACATGATGAGAGAAAGAAGTTTCAGAACAATAAACCCAGAGTAAGTAATTACATGACATTTCTTATATATACTGATTTTCTACAGACATTCATGACTAGCCAGATAAATACCAATACTGATAATGAGAAGAAAAGATAAAAGAAGAAACAAAACACAACCTACCTCTGTGTCCGCCTCTCCAGCAGTGACCATGGTCAACATACAAACAAACAACACAACTTTCATCGTTTCTGCTTCTGTCCAGTACAAAGTGGGAATGTCTGATACACCAAAGATGGGACCTTGTATTTATACTCATATTCCTGGATTAAATCAACACAGATTACCCTAGAATTCACACTCCCCTGCTGGGTATTATCCGACATATCTACATGGGGGAGCTAAACATCTTGGATTATGCGGAGGCAGGCTGATTATCCCGGAGCAGCGTCATCGCCGCCATTGTTCTTGGTGTGGTGTATAAACATCAATAACGAGGCAGTTGGTAACTGTTTCTCACCAGGGGGTATTATCAGAGGGCATTGTTGAGATTATATATAATAGTAACATATTAATAATAACTGAAACGGGAGAAAATGTAAGTTTCTTGTTTTTTGACTGAAAATACAAATAAAATAATTCATGTCTCCCAAAATCTCTATGAACTTCTCCATAAGATATGTCACATGACCCTTCCCTTGAGATATGTAGTTCTTTTAGCTTGAACATCACAAAAACCTTATCAGTGTATTCGCTTTAAGGTTACTCACGTTTTTGTATTCGGTTTTGCTGTTGTAATCGCTAAACAAATGTACTTTGAGAACATATATTCAGTACACCATCTTTTCCGAATTCATTTTTATTCGCAGTTAAGTTGTAGTAGTAGTAGTAGTAGTAGTGGTAGTAGTAGAAGGGGTAGTAGTAGTAGTAGTAGTAGTAGTAGTAGTAGTAGTAGTAGTAGTAGTAGTAGTAGTAGTAGTAGTAGTAGTAGTAGTAGTAGTACAAACTTTCTAGAATTATAATTGAGATATGTATGTACCACATAAAATGTACGACTGGACTTCGTGTTTATGAATAAGTGGAAAATTTGCAATTACATGTAATTGTCAGTTCCTATTAGCAATATCGATGATTGACAATTAGTTTAAAAAGTTGATCCTATATGTATTATTTCATTACATTGAGGGACTAGAAAATCCTCCAGACACAAAACGTAGTGACCACTTCAATGCATTTGTCTCCCAGTACTTGTCTGCAAAGCTTGTCAAGAACAACTCGTGATGAGAAGCGGATTACCAACTGTCTCATTGTAATGATACCACTCTTAGAACAATTACAGTTGATGAGGACACGCCCAGATCAACACCATTCATTTATATAATCCCGGATTTGTGGTAAAAACAAGACTGTAACTTATCACGGATTATCATCAGCGACAGCGGATTACGGGATAATCTGATTTTGTGTATTCGGCAAACATGGTTGTCCAAATATGTAAGAACCATGCCCGATCTATCCGCTCTCATGTGCCAAATATTAATACAATCATTGCTTTTTAGAGCAACCTACATGTGCATCTGTATTCCTCTATAGCACGTTCAGTGTTCTAAATGTATCTTTTAAAAGTATATATATTCATATACATACAATAATACGATACAATAATACGAATGCTTCATTATCCTGCATACACAGTTGTTGATATTAAATATTTGTTTTCCCATTTCTCATTGTAAAACCTTAAGTTAAGAAAATAGACAAATGTTATCTCTGAAGAGTGAGTGAGGTAGTATCTTTTTTCGCCGCTTTTGACAATTTTCCAGCAATATCAAGGCGTGGGACACCAGAAATGAGCTTCACACATTGTATCCATGTAGGGAATGGAGCCCGTGTCTTCGATGTAACGAGCGAACACTTTAACCACTAGGCTACCCCACCGCTCCTCTCTCTGAAGAATTCATAAGATGGATAATGTTTCAGTTCCTGGATTATCTGTATAATATTGTTGTATATATTGCTTTCTGAACTGGGAGTAGCGTTCACATATCATCATCACACGGTATTCATCTTCTACACTCCTCATATTTTTCTTCAAACAGAACTCGCAATATCTTTCATCATGAGGAATATTATTGTGTCTTCCAATCTGAACACATAATCCAAAAATATTTCATCTAAATTTTGCTAAATGCCAATTAATATATTGAGGTATGTTTATTGTTAGATATGATTCAGTATTGTGAAGTGACGTATATTGTTTATAGTACTTGCACTTTGATGAACTTTCCAAGGATGAGTGCCAATTTGTTGAAGATCCTTGTTTAAATTAGTTTTAAAGATTTCAGCATCTCCCATGTTCTGCTGAATCCAGACTATACCAAATCCTAGATGAAATATAATATTCATAATTGAAGTAACCCATGTGTGTCTTCCAGCATTATCAATAGATATAAGTATAATGTAAATCTGATATGGTAGTCTATTATTGTAGAGGTGAATTAATATAGTCCAGTATTTTATATCTATTGTCATGTAAATACATTCTCTGCCAGTCTGCCACACTCTCCAAGAACCATGTTATTAAGAGTAATATTATTAAATCTAGGAAATCGTTTGCCGAATACAGTCTATGTACTTTCCATTTACTTGTTATATGAAGTTCCCCAGATTTCAGCACCATAACACAATATTGGAACTATCATGCCGTCAAACGTTTTGAAGTTGTCTTTATGTGATAAATATCCGAATTTCTTTTGATAATTAAAGATGTTGATGAGTGATTTCTTGGCTTGAGCAGAAAGTAAGTTTATTTTCTGCTTCGAAGGCCATCAGCCCATGTACACAGTT